CAAAAGGTGCTGAGTTGGAATCCCACTCTAGGGATTCTTGTGATTCCGGAGAATCCAATTACTAGAAAACCAGGAACGGGGAGCTCTCCCCTTTTTCCGCCGGACTCTTTGATCTTAAACTTAAGAATGATGGTTTTAAGAACAAGTGATTGCCCATGTGTGTCTAGGGAACATCTAGATGTGCCCCAGTTATTGCACATCTAAGTGGCTCAATCAAACTAGAAGGAAAAGAAAATGTTTGCATGAATCTCCATGTAAAATCAATGACGTGGGACTTAGATATGCAATACTTAGGACACATCTAGATGTGCTTTAGCAAAACTGAACAACATATATCACTGAGCAATGGGCCATTATATAAGGCATTGTCTTCAGGTGTATGCGAGACATGGCACATATGAGGTTATGTGGCCATCCTTCTTTGCCAAGGTAAGGGTGTTGCTTTCGAAAGTCCAATTCGGCTCTTGGAGCATACGCCCCTACACACCAAAAATATTATTTTACAAATGTCAGTTGTTTAAAACAAATGTTTACTGTCACACAAAAGTGGTACATGCAACTTTTAGGGGAAAGATTAAACATTTGTGAAAAAAAACAAGTCAAACAACAAATGTTAACTTCAAATGTAACACTTAATTATTATTTTCACTGATGAAGCACTGCTATCCCATTTCACTTGAAAATTATCAAGCACACTTGTACACTATCAAGAACATCTTAAAAAATTCAAAATATTTAAAATCTACTTACTATTTATTTTGAATGTACTGTTCATCCGGGAGTATATGCACCTCAAAGACAAATCAGCCATCCCACTTTCGGAAATCCAATTCGGCTCTCGAGACAAAACGACCATCCCTGTTGCTTTTTCTTTTTATGCTTTTGGTTGGTCTGTAATATGGACATCTCCAACACCGACACTCAAACCGTCCAGACCGCGTGGTCCAAACGTGTTTTGCCATTCAATGCGGGTATGTATCGGTCCACCGATCGGTTCAGACGTGCTTTTTGCCGCAAATCAGAAAAAAACTAGGGGGTCTTTGTGGGCGTTCGGACCGCTGCCACACCCGCTCCTGATGGCCGTGGCCCACCCAGAACGCATCTCCCGCCTCTCCCGTGCTTTCCATCCAATGCCCGCGCCGCTTGCCGCGCAACATTCATGTCGGCCCAGAGCATGCACTGGCCGACATTCATGTCGAGCAACGTGAACGGATGGGAGGGCAGCACGGACAGATGCGACCTCTTAGTGGCGCTGACATTCAAGCGACTCGCCGATCGAGAACGTTGCCCGCTACGCACGCCTTCTCTCCGCATTGAAAGGGCATCCCCGCCTACCTCCATTAAACCAGCGCTTGTGCCAAGGAACCTACTTCGGCGCCCCGAGCGTCACACGTCTGTTTCTCTGCCGACGGGCATTAAATACCTCTCCGATTGACGCCTTGCATCTGTCCGCTATTTAAGTGTGGTCAAGCACTGGGCAAAAACCGCACACCACCGCCATCCGTCTCCTCCTCGCACTAGACCCTCCATGGCTTTCTCCAGCTCCACACTCCTCTGGGATAGGCTCTTGTTCGAGCAGAAAAAGGAGATCGCAGGCATTGCAGCCGGCTGAGTTGCCCGGCAAGCAAGCCGGATATAGGCTAGCTGGTCGGCAAGCCCTCTGGAGCAAGCGCCACCGCCATCACCATCGCCCGGCCGTCCTTGCTCGTCCAGGCTGGCCAACAACAGTTCGATGAGTGGGTTGTCGTACATAGGAAATACATGTCGTGGGAATGGAGATCCACCGGAGCCGGCATTAGACTAGTTTTAGCCTAGTCCGCTATAATTTATTTAAAATATGTCCGAAATGTAAATGTTCTCTGTCCAGTTTGTATGAAAATCATCCGGTTTGCATGTAATTTATCTGGTTAGTTTAAACCCGACTTGAAATGTATGCGCCTAGGTTTGGATGACCGGTTCACGCATCCATGTCCGTGGACTGATCTTCCCCATTCACGGACGAATGCGGTGTCCGATTTGTGCGTCTTGAAGATGCCCTAACACTAATAGTTATTTGACTGAAAATCGATCGAGGTGTTCTCGTTGTTTTTATTTTAAAGATCACACATGATGACACCAAAAGAAGGTCAGCTTGTCGCCGGAGAAAAGGACGCCGGCCGGCAAGAGGAGCTGATATCTCGTGCATTGTTGTCCCGTCAAGACTCATCATTAAGGCGTGTGCGTTGTCTCATCCATTGTTGTTGTGCTCATCGAGTTGGAGAGTATCTTCATTAGATCAGCTGAGAGCAGCTTCCATTAAAATAAGAGCACGCGTGTCCGGCAAGATTTACACTAAAAAATGGTGATAAAGAAGAACAGAGCAACGCTTTCCTGGAAGCTGCAACCCAGTCCGCAACGAACCCGGGAGGTACCACTCTCCTTCTACTCGTCTCTCTGCTGCATGTAAGAGAGAGTACGCCACCAACCATGGCCGGTCGAGCAGGAGCAGCAACGTCACCTCCTGCTTCGTCACCGCCGGGCAAGCAGTTCGCGGAAGTGGTGGTGGTGCGACACGGCGAGACGTCGTGGAACGCCACCCGCACCATCCAGGTATGTCCACTTACCTCCTCCACCTCCACCTCCACCATCGATCTTCTCCGGCTGACACAGCCATTTCCCCAAATCTCGTCTTCGCAGGGGCAGATGGATCCGGAGCTGAACGAGACCGGCAGACGACAGGCTCTCGTGGTACGTACGCTCTCGAGCCTCGACAAAAATACTCCGATAGCTAAATACTTATGAGGACCCCTCTCTGAATTCGGATCCCAAGGTTGCCCGTCGGCTGTCGAGGGAAGCCAAGCCAGCTGCCGTGTACTCCTCCGACCTCAAGCGCGCCGCCGAGACCGCGCAAACCATAGCCACAGCCTGCGGCGTATCCTCTGTACGTATGTGGCTGGCGTTCCATCTCGGCTCGTTGCTGCTTGCTGAGTCCATGGATGCGTTTCTTGATCGGCTCATGACATGAGCTGCTTGGTTTCAGCTGGTGCTGGATCCAGCGCTGAGGGAGAGGCACATGGGAGATCTCCACGGCTTGGTGTTTGACGACGCCGTCAGAAGGAATCCTGAGATCTTCTCTTCTTACTCGAGAACCCAAGAAATCCCCGTAAATTCCATGCTTCCGTCCGAATTTACTCGGCTATTCTGTTCTGTTCTGCCACTTCTCGCATGGAAATTATCTTGGCATCGCGTCGAAATCTCTGTTCCATCGCATTCTCCATTTTTGTAGGGTGGTGGGGAGAGCCTCGATCAGTTATCCAAGAGGTGTGTCTCGTACCTGAACACAGTAGCTGAGAAGCACAAGTGTAAGCAACTAAGCATCAATCCTCACCCTGACACCACAGATTTTGTCCATGGGCATCGGAACAGTAGCCGCTGAGCAGGAAAAAATATATATCTGATTTTTGTTTTACTTGTGCTGGCATTGACAGGGGAGCGGGTGATCGTGGTCACCCATGGCGCCAGCACGGAGGAGCTGTGCATACACGCCGACCCGACCAGCCCTGTGCGCGGGAAGCTCTACAACACTTCGATCTGCGTCTTCCGTATCGGCGGCGGCGAATGGATCCTCGAGAAGACCGGCGACGTCGGCCATCTCGATCAAGGTGAATTCCTTGAGGACGCATTTGGCGGCGATGGCGTGTCTGCGTGACGACGTTACTACTCACGCCATCGACGGCTGTTTCCCTTTCGTCGACGTGATGGCGTGTCTGCGTGACGGCGATTCCTTGAGTATACCACTGCTGTTTCCCTTTCGTCGACGCATTCATCAGCAATCTACACTTCACACAAAGCCAGTTCGACCGGCCAATGTCATTGCACTGACGTGTTACTAATTCATCGTGGGTGAAACAATAAATGATCAAATTACTACTCTATGGTTTGCAACTTTTTTTTAGTCTAAACACACTCGCTTTATTAATCAATGATGTTCATAGGGATACAATTCACGTCTGGGGGGTTTAAGAGCCACACATGGATCCAGACCAAAAGCGTGTTTAACAAGGCTATGAGCCTCTTGATTTGATACTCTACCTTCAAAGATAAAGGCACAACTCTGAAAAAGAGTGGTAGCCTGTCTAATCTCCTTCATAATGCTCGCGTTCATCCCTCCCGTGCCAAGGTTTATGTCTTGAACAACGTTTTTGAAGTCTGAAGCAATCTCCACATGGGTTAGCGACAGATCCAAAGCCATAGCTCTATGGTTTGCAACTGTTTACTATTGTTGCTACTACTGCTGAAATTAGAGATGGGCTTTAGGCCCATATAGCAATTTCTGAAAAATCTCTAAGGGCTCGTGTGGTTTTATTGGCACTAAGTGTAGTGAGAAGTTTAGTCTCATCCCGCTAGTGGAGAAGGAGTTGGACCTTTTTATAAGGGATTGTCTTCTACATGCTATTGGAGCTTGAGAAGAGAAGAGGCCCTTGTGCGCTCCTCCTCCGCCTAGGCGCGCCGCGGGTTGCGGGATTGAGCCGAGCCGAGCTCACACCTACGCGCTTATTGCCAGTCATTAACGGAGATTTCTCAGACAGCTGGGCCACGATCCGAGACGTCGGATCGTGGGCTGTCACGGACTCAGACGTGGGTCGAGCCCACGCCTCTCCACATGGTTGTGCCTATATAAGTGTGCAGTGTCTTCTAACCCTCTCCACGCGGCTGCGCCTATATAAGTGTGCAGTGTCTCCCGTCTGCCGGCCTAATTTCCGTCATACCGGTGTTATGTTCCTTGATTTTTGCGTCCCTAACACGATGAGGGGTATGGGACCCTCTCGACGTTTCGCTTTGAATAAAACTCTTCCATTAAGGCCCAACATTGGTTTTAACATTTGCCATAATAATACTTGAACCTAATAATTAAATTTGCATAGGGCGTCGCAAACCCGAGGATTTTTCTACATACAGAGCGGGGCCAGTGCTGATGGTGTTGGTTTCAAACGGGCAGATTGCGGGGCCGCCTCGGGGAAACTCGAGGTATTTGGTATATACATGTAGGCTGGCCCATCCGGATGTGTCCTGAGACTAGATACGCGCGGCTACTATCAAGGTATCGACACGCCGGGAGGCTTTGCTGGATTAGTTTTACCATTGTCTAAATGTCTTGTGCACCGAGATTCTGAGTCTGATCGGAGTATCCCGCGATGGAGGATTGTCTCCGCAGATCGTGAGCTTGTCATGCACTAAGTTGGGACACCCCTGCAGGGTTTAATCTTTCGAAAGTCATGCCCGCGGTTATGTGGTAGATGGGAATTTGTTAATATCCGGTTGTAGAGGACTCGAAGTAAACTTAACTAAAATACACCATACACGTTGCGTAACCGTGATTGTCTCTTTTCGTGAAGTTCGAGAGAAGAACACGGTTGGGTTATGTTTGAACGTAAGTAGTTTAGGATCACTTAGTGATCATTACTAGTTGGCGACCGTTTGATTAGATTCTCATCTTACTCTTGTACTCGTATGTTAGCCACCATAATTGCTTAGCCGCTTGCTGCGACCTCACCACTTATCCTTTCCCTACCCATTAAGCTTTGCTAGTCTTGATACCCATGGTAATGGGATTGCTGAGTCCTCGTGGCTCATAGATTACTACACCAACAGTTGCAGGTACAGGTAATGCGATGATCATGACGCGAGAGCGATGTTTGCCCGTTTTGAGTTCTTCTTCTTCGTCGATCTGGGGTTAGGTTCCTGGTCAGTAGCCTGGCTAGCAGGGTGGATGTCATTTAAGTTTTTGTTTGTGTTTCATCCGTAGCCGGATGTTATTCTATGTATGATGTTGATATATTCTTGCGGCATTTGTATGCCTTGTATGTATCCCCAACTATTATGTAATGGTATGTTGTAATGATATCCACCTTGCAAAAGCGTGTCAATATGCGGTTCTATCCTTGGTGGGACCTTCGCATCCCTTTAGGATAGTGTCGCATATTGGGCGTGACGGGAGAGGGGCGAATAGGTTTTTGGGAAGCGACTACGCGACTGCTCGCCGTTCGTCTACTTCCTCTACGTCCGCGTCGTCCTCGTCATTACCATGTCCACCAACGCCGAACGTGCCGCCGCCGAGAAGACCGAGGCCGACAAGAAGGCCGCCGAGGATGCCACTGTTGTTGTCACCGCCGCCACGGCTTCTGCCTGGCCTACTGGAGGGTATTACACGTTTATCCCACTCCTGTTTATTTTCGTATTAGCAGTACTAGCAGTATGTGTAGATTTGTCTACTGTTTTCTTAGTACGTGCATTTTTAGATCAAAGTCAGTACGTCGTCAATTCAGTCAGTGCCATGCTAGTAATATATATATGGATTAAATTAGTCGACAAATTGCCTATTTACTCAGCAATCCAAAAACCTATTATGTGTAGTAATTTTTTGGCAAATGGCTCTGCCGCTGCGCTGAAACCGGATAAGTTTACCGGTACGTACTTTAAGCGTTGGCAAACGAAGACCACTTTATGGCTCACGGCTATGAACGTGTGCTGGGTCACCGGTGTCTCCGCGGGAACGATTGCTCCTGAACAGGAGAAGGCGCTCAAGGAGGCCATCGTTGTGTTTCTCGGAGCAGTTTTTAGCGTGATCGGAGATAAACTGGTCGACGCATATTTACATGTGCATGTCGCCAAGGACTTGTGGGAGGCCCTCGAATCTAAGTTTGGGGCCGCCGATGCTGGGAGCGAAATGTATATTATAGAGCAGTTCCACGATTACAAGATGGTTGAAAACCGCCCTGTACTGGAGCAGGCTCATGAGATAATATGCATTGTTAAGGAGCTTGAGCTTCTTAAGTGCGAGTTACCGGGCAAGTTTGTCGCGGGCTGCATAGTCGCTAAGCTCCCTAATTCCTGGAGGAACTTTGCCACCACCCTGAAACATCAGAGGCATGAATTCTCTGTGGAGGATGTCATTGGCCATCTGAGTGTTGAGCAGAATTCGAGGGAAAAAGACTCGCACGGAAAAGGGGTCGAAGGGACTTCTGTCGCCAACATGGTGAACCCGAAGAACTTCAACTCCCACAAGCCCAAGGTAAAAATGGTGTCCAACACAATACCGACTTTAAGAAGAAGGGTAAGAGGACCTTCAAGAAGAACAAGAAGGATGAGGGCTGCTTTACTTGTGGTTCGGTTGAACATTGGGCCAACAAGTGCCCAAACAAGTACAAGAAGCCAGGACAGGACTCCAAGTCTGTCAACATAATTGTGGGCAACAATGAGAATGGTGCATCTGGGTGCGGTAATTTATTTACTGTTTTTTCAGTGTCTCAGTCCACCAATTGGTGGATGGACATAGGTGCAGGTGTTCATGTGTGTGCTGACATTTCATTGTTTTCTTCTTACCAGATCACATGCCACGGGTCCGTATTGATGGGGAATGGCACGAGTGCTTCTGTTCATGGTGTTGGCATGGTCGATCTGAAGTTTACTTCGGGAAGGATCGTGCAGCTGAAGAACGTGTAGCATGTCCCCGCCATCAAAAAGAACCTCGTTAGTGGCTCCCTTCTATGTAGAGAAGTGTTTAAGTTGGTTTTCGAGTCTAATAAATTAGATGTTACGAAATATGGACTCTTTGTTGGAAAAGGTTATGAGAGCGGAGGGATGTTCCTCCTTTCCCTCGCAGATTTTTGTAATAAAGTCGTGAACATATTCATTTGAATGTTAATGAATCTGAAGTTTGGCATTCACGTCTTTGTCACATTAGTTTCGGTGTTATGACGCAGCTAGCCAAGTTGGATTTAATCCCGAGTTTCACTTTAGCCAAGGGTTCTAAGTGCCTTTCATATGTGCAAGCTAAGCAACCTCGCAAGCCTCACAAGGCCGCGGAGGAGAGACACTTGGCACCATTAGAACTCATACATTCTGATTTTTGTGAGATGAATGATGTGTTGACTAAAGGTGGAAAGAAATACTTCATGACATTGATAGATGATTCCACTATATATTGCTATGTGTATCTGTTAAATACTAAATATGATGCTCTACACTACTTTATAATTGTAACGCCCGGATAATTAGGCTACAGTAAAACTCTTCTAATGATGCCATGTCATCAGTGTTACTGTTGCTAACCAAGTGGTAGTTCAAGATCATTGCTAATTCAAAATATGAATTAGTGACAAACACCCTAAGTTTTCAAAAGTCAAAGCGAAAATGTTCGGGGTTTGCCAAATATTGCACTGGTAATTATGGTGAAGCAAACACCATTTTATAAAATGCCTAAATGCCCTAAAACTAAATAAAACAGAAAGGAAAAATAAATAAAAGAAAGAAATTACAAAAAAACAAAAAAAGGGGGGGAATCCCCCTGGACCAGGCAGCCCAACCCACCCGCACGGCCACCGCCCAACCCCCCTGGCCCGCAGCCAGCCTGGCCGGCCCAGCCGGCCCAGCTCCCGCACCGCGTCCCCTTCCCCTGTTCCCCCGACCCGGGTCGGAACAGGGCACGTCCCAGCCGAACCCCCCCTCGCCGGCGACGAGATGAGGGGATAAGGTTGCCACGCCGCGCCCCCTCGGTTTCCCCTCCCCACTCGCCCCCACACTCGCCTCGGCTCCTGCGCCTCTCCCTCTCCCCTTCAAATCCATCTCCCCCTCGTTCCCCACTGCAACCGAGCGCCGCCATGGCCTCGCCGCCGTAGTACTCGCGGCCGCCGCGACCTCCAAGCCCTT